GGATTGATCTTGCACTTGTTTTAGTAATTTCCAGTGATACAATATTTACATTTGCATTTACATTTTTCTTCAAATATATTTGTGAAATATTTAATGCCTCTCCCACTAAATGCTACCTAAGCTCTAGCCGACAACATTTTATGAAAATTTTTGTGTACAGTGTATATAAATAAAGACACACATCGTCAGTATACAAACAATTATCACACAATGACTAAAACACATAACCACTATCAATATCAAGAGTTACAGTACCAACTTCCCTGAATGTGTCTTGCCCATTTTGATATATAGTATGATGGATAATTAATATGAAACTCTAAGAAGGACAATTTTATTCTATAGTGATATAAAACATATAATTCACTACTTGAACCTAGGAGTTGAGCTGGGGATTGATTAGAAATATTTTATATAATGAGTTTTCTAAATATTCCATATCCAGATTGTGATAGTGGGTATATGTGGCTATATATGCCTCAAATTTATTTAGTTATATAACAAAGTAGGCATATTTTAATATTTAAATTATAGTTCAATAGTTATTTTTTTAAAGAACTTAGCAATGATTTGAGATCTCTTTAGCTCTCAATTTTAAAAATCTACATAGTCCTCCACAGTCTTTTTGACTATAATAGAATTTATTAAATTATATTATCAGAATTAAATTTATTAAATTATATTATCAAACTAAAAGTTATTAAATTATATTATTAGAATCATGCAGTTGAGGGACTCCGAATGTTTGAAAATTCTTCTGATGTGTGAATATTTTCAATAACATTCAGAGGAAGTGGCCATTCTGCCTTTATTTAAATACCTTCAAGAAAAGGAAGTTCATTATATCTTTAAAAAAAACACTATCTAAATTTTGGGCAAATCTAATTCTTAGATAGGGTCTTCTTGTGATGAAAAATTTCTTTCACAGGTTTCACTCACTGATACAAGTGTTGTATAGATGTAACTGGTTTTCTTACTGGTAGCTACACAGATATTTGGAACTACTATATTATTTATGTCCAAAATCTTCATTTTTCAATTAAAACTCCACATTGTCCCTTAACCAGTTCTTGAATGCCTTCCTCTTAGCACTTCCTCTTCAAAATTATTCCCCAATCCAGTAAACATCTTCAGTTTACCCGTTCATGCATTACAGAATCACCTCTCAGTATGCATGAAAGATTGATTCCAGAGCTCCCTGTCTCCTTTCAGATACCAAAATGTACAGATGCTCAAGTTCCTTGTTTGTACATAACCTATAGATATCTTCCTGTTCATTTCAAATCATCTCCAGACTATTTAAAATAACTAACATAATGAAATGCTATGTAAACAGTTACTTCACCATATTCTATAGGAAATAATGAAAAATAGTCTGTACAATTCCAGTACAAATGCATTTTTTTCCTGAGTGTTTTTGATCTGCACTTGGTTACATTCATAGAAGGAGAAGACATGAATACAAAAAGCAGTCTGTTCTATTGATTCAATTTAAAATAAGCAAAATTTCTTAGTATTGTTTTTTTTGTTTATCTCACAATCAACAAAAAGTCCCAAATTTTGCACATGTGCGTCTGTTAAAACCCCATTTCATCCTTTCTGTTCTATTACAGCTGGCTTTGGGAATTGGGCACAAGATGTTTTGTTGTTTCCTGTTTGTCTCCATCTTCTTAGAATGGCTTCATTATTTCACTATATTAAGGTTCCTTTGAATATGACTGTCCTGTAACGTATCAGCCACTCTTCTGAACTTTGAGTTATATGCTGTATATCCAATGAATAGTTACAAACAGCTCTCATCTCGTCTATTCTTATTCTAATTCCATATTATATTCCACAGTATTTTACAATTTATAAATCTTTTTGTTACTTTAAAATCATATTATACATGCAAATCTTGTCCCTGAAATAACATAATAATATTTTAAAGCATATCTATACAGAGGAGTAAGGTATATCTTTAACTTATTTACAGAGTAAGCATTCAACAATTACTTGTTGACTTCAAACCTCAACTTCATCAGTTGAGCCAACATTAATCTTCACCTCACATTTCATTAAGTGCTTTATTTTATATCCATACAGATGTATCCGGAGGAAAGGCAATACAGTCATTACAAAAACCTTCAAAATCATTGAGCTACTTTAAAGTACAAACAGAAGCCACAGTGCCATCTAGTGAATAGATTATGTGCACTGACCACGAGCTCACTTTCAGTGCTGTAATGGAAGGATATGATTTTTTAGAGCTTTATATAGTAGATACAAACAATATATGACCAGAAAACGAAAGATAAATACTCACTAGTCTTGTCTTTGTGGCTGTTTTAATTCTTTTTAAATTTTACTTGTTTCTATTTCATATGCACTAGTGTTTTGCCTGCATGTATGTCTGTGTGAGGGAGTGAGAACCCCCAGAAGTGGATTTACAGACAGTTGTGGCCTGCCATATGGGTGGGTGCTGGGAATTGAACCCAGGTGCTTTAGAATATCAGTCAGTGCTCTTAAGCACTGAGCCATCTCTCTAGCCCCAGATGCTTTAAGTTTTACAGCCATCTTATCATATAGCATTGCCCCTTCCTGCTCGGGTTTTCTTAGTAGCTATCACTACTTAATTAGCAACAGATCAAGAAACTACAGTCTTTGGCAAAATCTGACCCACCCTCTATTTTTGCCTAGCCCACAGACTAAGGATAATTTTATTGGTTTTAGATGGCTGAAATAAATCAAAAGACAAACATTTCATGCCACAAGAAAATCATATGAAATTTAGTATCCCTAAATATAAAAGTTTCCTCAGAGTACACTATGAATACTTGTTTACATATTTTTTATGGCAGTATCTGGTATAAGACCAGAGCTGAGTGTTACATTAGGGACCATGTGACTTCCAAATTCTTAAATATTTTCTGTGTGACTCTTTACAAATTTTTCGACCCCAAATTGTTCCCATCTAAAGAAATGCAGGGACAAAAATGGAGCAAAAACTGAACAAATGTCCGACCAGTGGCAGGCCCAACTTGGGATTCATGCCATGGGCGGGCACCAATCCTTGATGTTATTAGTGATGTTTGCAGACACGAGACTAGTATGGTTGTCTTCTGAGAGGCTCTACCAGCAGCTGACTGAGACAGATACAGATACTTACAGCCAACTATTGGATTGAGGTCTGGGACCCCTATGGAGGAGTAGGAGAAGGATTGAAGGAGCTGAAGGGGATGGCAACCCCATAGGAAGACCAAGTGTCAACTAACCTGGACCCCTAGTAACTCCCAGAGACTAAGCCACCAACCAAAGAGCATACATGGGGTTTGTCTATGGTGCCCAGCACTTATGTAGCAGAGGACTGTCTTGTCTGGCCTCAGTGGGAGACAATGTGCCTAATCCTGTAGAGGCTTGATGCCCCAAGGAAGAAGGATGTGGGGCATGGGGGTTGGGGGTTGGAGGGTGGGAGGACCCTCTCAGAGACAAAGAGGAATCGAGGATGGGAAGAACTCTTGAAGGGGTGACCGGAAAGTGGGGGGCAACATTTGGAATGCAGATGAATAAAACGATTTAAAAATAAAATAGTAAGCATACGTTAAAAAATCCTGTTAGACAATGGTAAGATGGGGATGGCAAAGTACTGATGGCTTTCCCTCCAACCTCTACCTTTTTATATGTCCTACTGTATAGGAATGTATTCTTTACATATGCAAAGTATCCAGTGTCTGCTAGGAAGTCAGGAAGAACAAAATGAGAAATATGCTAAGTAACAAACACAGTTACCTTGAACATTTCGAAATAAGCTTTGGCTTCCCTACCTATATGGCATTAAATGACACAGTTGGACATGGAATACATGCTATTAAGACATACTGGTTTCCTGATTGCCTATTTTTTCCTTTTTGCTAACAACAATTGAACTCCAATTACAGGTTCAGTTCTGCACTGACTCTAGAACTGATCCTGTCCTTAGTTAGATATGTAAGGAGTGCTACTTCAGGTTGGGGATGTGCTTCAGGCCATTTTCCTAGTATACGTATAGCCCTGAGCTCAAACTGAAGCACCACACAAAAATTTCAGTTTCTTGTAGAGAAAGATTGGACCTAGTCAACTTGAGTATTGCTCTTCTGGTAATTTTATTCAGATGATCTAAGGCCTTGAGATTCAGATTGGGAGTGCTGAGGCACCTAGCCTCATACACTGAGCAGCTGCCAGAATGTCAGCTTCCAGTATGAAGACCGTTATCAGTGAATGTATTCATTTTATTGGTTCTGTTTTTCTAGAAAACCCTGATAAAACACAGACCTTGAAAGAAAACCTACAAAATCACTACCCTTATTCATATAATTTCTCCTAAAGCTGTCAGTAAAATTTGAAAGGCAACAAAAACCTTCATATTCGATTGAGTGCATACTTGTCCTTCTCATTTTTTGTTCTTCTAAGAACCAATACCCCATATTATGTGCACACTGTATGATGTTCAAAGGAAAAAATGTCTCACATGCTATTAGAAATATGAATGGCCCTATCATTCATAAAATCTTTTTATCTTTTAGCTTCTATATTTTTCCTAATGAAGAGTCATGCACTGAACTTTTATTAAGTGGTTATAAAGACAAGATAATAACCTAAAACTAAAAGAATAGCTATTTCATGCAAGTATCTGCTGTCAATGGATGCCTAACAAAAATGCAGACCATCAAATGTTAGTCTATTTTAAAGGACTATGTAGCAGATGGTTAGCAGCAAATAGCCTTTCAGAATACAGTAGAAGATAAATGGTAAGGACAGTAAGTAAAGGAAATCAATACTTTCCCAAAACTCTCTCCTTTGGGAAATTCTGCTTCATGTTTGCAGGACACACATCAAAAAGATGTCAATTTGACCTTGTTCGCATCCTGAGGCACTCGCTCTCAGCCACCCTAAGTAGCTTTGAGATCAGAGTGATGCATTCACCTAAGTGCCTGCACAGAACATTGTCTGCCTCTAAAAATAGAATAAGTAAATAAAAGCACCTTATCAAGTTGATTCAAAGGTAAGTAACAGGAAGCCATGTTCCTCTTCAGCCTGACCAAATCCAGATCCGTTTGATCACACTCATACAACTTCAGAGAATAACTGTACCAGTGTAGAGCATTGGCATAATTTTGGACCTAAAGTTAAAAAAAACAACAACAACAAAATCACAGATTTTTCCAAAATTCACTTTAAATTTTTTAGACAGCAAAAACAGTATCTACTCACTTGAATTCTAAGTGTTTAATTCTCTTTTTCTGTTTCCTACACATTGCAAAGTTCAGAGGCTAGAGTTGAAGTTCAGTGACAGAGTAGATGCCTAGCATGCATAGGGCCCTGGGTCAAATCCCCAGTACTGAAAGTATAAAAGTTATTTATTTCACTCAAAGGATGAAGACTCTAAAAAGTGGTATACAACCTCTAGAAAACTGAAAAGCCATTTTAAAAGCTACCTAAAGAACAATGATAAAAATCTTTAAAGACAGCATCCACAAATCACCATGCTAATGGAGATACCTTCATCTTTCTATTTAATATTTTAACTTTATCCTTTTAGATATGTAAATTGTAGTTATCACAGCTTATATACAATTACATATTTTATTCTTTCCATTAAATCTTATATGCATATTAATCTACATCATTATAGTTTTCAATGACTAATTTTAAAGGAAAATATTAGTCTAATTAATGTATTATTTTCTTAGTTTCATAATTTAATGAATTTCCAAAGTTTTCCCCATTAAAATTAATGCAACTGTATTCTTGTAAAAAATATTTTGTTACTGTCAATCTTTCAATTATAAGAAACTATTAGTAGCAACCTAATAGAAATAGCCTGGTTTATTACTTAAGTCTAAGACAGATTATTTATAAATACTACGTAGGTAACTGAGTCTCCTGTACCCTATAGAGGCTTCCTGTCTTTTAAGTAATGACTGCAGGAATGAAAATGCTCTTTTAAAGTAGAAACAGCTATGCTACGGAGGTAAAACATTGGCTATTTGAACATAAAATTATATTCTTCAGAATTGAATGTGAAATGGGGGAGGGGAAACAGAATCAAAAGGAGAAAGGAAATAATTCAGAAGAAACTTTTTACCTTCTCAGTACAGAAATAAAGAAGGCCTAAAAAAGCAAAGAGTGATGATTTGGTTAGCACTAGAAGCTATGTATATGTCTCTATATGCTTCTACTTCTTTGTCTTGAATCTAATTTCTTGTTTCCTATTTTAAGGTTAGGGTTAGGGTTTTATCTCCAAATCCTTTCTCTCCATCTTTAACAAACCTACAAAATCTACCACAACATATTTTGCAACATTGTACTTGAACCCTGAGACCTCATGCTTGCCAGATAATAAGGATTTTTGATCTAGCCTCTTCCATTCAACTTAAATAGTTTCAAGATTAGTCCCTATTGCTGCACCTATCAATAATTCATTCCCTTTTACCGCTAAGTAATATTTCATTATATGGACATACCACAGATTAGGTCCATTTTCAAATATTACAAATAGTGTCAGAGTGTTTTTCTGTCAACTTAACACAGGTTACAGTAATTCTGGAAAAGAGAACTTGGAGAAAATTATTCCATTTGATTGGTCCGTGGACAAGCATATGATGCATTTTCTTGATTGATGTGGATGGGACCATTCTATAGATGGTGTTGCCAACCCTGGGTGGATGGTCATGGATAGTATAAGGTTGAACAAACTATGAGGGGTAAGCCATTAAGCAGTACTCCTCCATGGCCTTGGCATCAATTCATAACTCCAGGTTCCTGCCTTCAATTCCTGCCATGACTTCCCAGGATGGTGGGCTATAAGCTATAGGATGAAAAGTAAAATAAATTTCTTCCTCCTCAAGTTGCTTTTGGTCATGGTGTCTTACCACAGCAATAGGAAGCCTAACTAAGACACAAATAAAGTTACTTTACTGTTTAAGTTTTTGTATGTGTAACTACTGTGTTACATACACATTTTGTATGGATCTTTACTTTTCTCTTGAGTTATATACATGGGGTTAGAATAAATTGTATGAAGGGTGAATATTTAACAACTTCCTAAACTGTTTGTATTATTTCATAGCCCAACTCCTAAAGGTTTTAGTTCCTTCTAATATTTTGTATATTCATTTTTCAAAAATTTTGATAATTCTAAGTAGTATCACCTTAGGGTTTTAATTTGTGCTTCCCTGACAACTCATAAGTCATCTTTTTCGTCAGTTATTGTATTAGAACATATTTTTGTGTAATTTATGTTCCTATCTTTTAGTGTCCAGTTTCAATGGTTTTGATGAGTGCCCAATTGCTCCAGTAACATTAGTTTTAAAGATCTCTCTTCCATAGAATTACTTCTATACTTGGTAAAAAAACAAAACAGTTAAACTTTTGTGTAGAATTAATTTGAGGTTCTTTATTTCTACTGATGTATGTCTTTGGCTTTGACATTAACACATTCTATAGAGAAATGCTGTGGCTATATGACAAGTCTTGAAATTGGTTGTGATGAGTTTTAGATTAATACTATTTCTCTAACAGCCTGAGGAAAAGAAGGTCCAGAGACAGGTCCAAAGTGGGATCCAACTCAAGGGGAGGTCCCAAGGCCTGACACTATCACTGAGGCTATGGAATACTCACAAAAAGGGACCTATCATGACTCCAAAAGACCCAGCAGGCAGCTGGAGGAGTCAGATGCAGACGTTTGCACCCAACCAATGGACAGAGGCTGCTGACCCCTGTGGTTGAATTAGGGAAGAGCTGGAGGAAGCTGAGAAGGAGGGCAGCCCTGTAGGAAGACCAGCAGTCTCAATTAACCTGAACCCCTGAGATCTCTCAGACACTGAGCCACCAGCCAGGCAGCATACACCAGCTGATATGGGGCCCCCAACACATATACAGCAGAGGACTGCCAGGTCTGGGTTCAGTCAGAGAAGATGTACCTAACCCTCAACAGACTGGAGGCCCCAGGGAGTTTAGAGATCTAGTTGGATGGGGGTTGGGAGTGGCGACATCCCCGTGGAGACAGGGGAGCAGGGAGGTGGTATGAGATGGGGAACAGTCAGAGGGTGGACTGGGAGGGAAATACAATCTGGAGTTTTAAATTAATTAATTAATTAATTAAAAAAAGAGTTTTCTCATCCCTTTGCTTGGAGCTTACTTGAACCTTTAAGAATATAAGGGCCCTGCTGGGCACAGGTGGAAGATGAGATCCTTGACCTCATGAAGGCTGGACGCCCCAGGGGGTGGGAGTTTGGAGGGGGGGGAGGTGGGAAGGGGGGGGTAGATAGAGGTTACATCCACAAAGAAGAAGGAGGAGGTGTGAGGGGATTGGGGGTTCCTGGCTGGGTGGGGGATGGGGTAAGGGGACAACATATGAAATGTAAATAAAACATCCAATAAAAAAAAAAAAAAGAATATAAATGTGGGTATTGGGCTTTATTTTATCTAAGTTGACAATATGTACATTGTCACTGGATTAGCATGATTATTTCATTTAATATTATTTTTAATGTGCTTACATTTAAATCTATCATCTTGCTATTTGTCTTTTTCTTTGAGAGAATCACTGTAATATAGTCTAGGCTGGCGTAGAACTCGTGATCTTCCTGCCTCAGCTTCCTGATTGCTAGGATAACAGGCATACATAATCCCTTGCCCAGCTTCTTGCCATTTGCTCTCTTTTTGTTCCATTTCACTTTAAAATAGAGACTTTAAATTTTTCATGTGTATGTGTGTTTTGACTGCAAGTATGTATGTGTACCACATGCATATCTGGTATTCATGGTGCCAGAAATGGACATTAGATTGCCTGTGAGTCACTATATGGGTGCTTGGATGTGAACCCAAGTCCTCTGCAAGAAGAGCAAATGTTTTTTAACCACTGAACCATCTTCTCCAGTCTCTGTTTCATCTAATGTTTATTCCTTATTTTCCTCTTTTCTTTTGGATTATGTGAATATTCTTATGATTTGTTCTTTATTCTCTTTTATTGACATATGAGTTAGAACTTCATTTTACTGTGTTTGAGTATAATGTATTAATGTTTAAGTTATTGTTGTCTATCTTCAACTATATGGTATAAGAACCTTATACCATTAACATTTTACACACACATATATACATACACACACAGTATAATTTATACCAAACTATATTTCTCTCCTCTTGTCCTATGTATGTGTGTATAATGTACAGTTTGATACATGATACTTTTATATGTTATAAACCCCATAAAACAATCTTATTCTGTTTAACACAACCATCTTTTAACATTTATTTCTGTGTGTATGTGAGTGTTCATGTGAACTAGTATGTACATGTATACACGTATGCATATATGTGTAGATCAACATTGTTGCTTGGGAACCATCTAGGTTGTTCTATGAGACAAGATGGTACTTTCAGATTAGGCTATGATGGCTGGCCAGAGAGACCCAGGAATTCCCGTCTTATCTGTCCAGCAATTAAAACCTGACCTTTTCTTTATTGACATAGGTGGTGCAGATCAAACTCAAGTCCTCATGCTTACATGGCAAGACTTTACCAATTGAGCCCCACCCCAAAGAAATATTTATAAGAGGAAAATATCTTCTATGTTTATTTATGTATTTATCATTTCTGGTGTTCTTCCTTCTTTTGTATAGATCTATCATTTCTAGCTAGTTATCAGTGTCCTGCTTAAAGGACTTGTTCATAACGTAGCTCTGTACTTGAGTTATCTTAGCTTTTGAAGATTTTGAAGTCTTCATTTGGATTTCATTTTAATTACTTTTAATCATGATAAAATGAATAACATGAAATTTATTAGCATAACTTTTTAAAAGAGAGAAATATGAGTTTGTTATGTATCCTTTGGGTGACATTTCTACTTTTTCTCCCTACAAATCCCTATCTTAACCATTTTTAACTATTCAGGCCACTAGTGTCACATATATTCACCATATTATAGAGCCAATCTTCAAAACTTACTCATCTTTTAAAATGGGAAAGTCTGATAGCTGTAGGTATATTGCAGTACTAGAGTCCATGCCCAGCATGCATAAGGCCCAAGTTCAATATCAGCATAAAATAAAATAAAATAAAATAAAATAAAATAAAATAAAATAAAATAAAATAAA